CCTTACCCCGCCCCCCCCCCAGACATAGCCCCCATAACAGACATTAAAAGCTAATTATTAATTAGAAAAAAAACGAAAAAATACGAAAGAAAAAAGGGCGCCAACCAAAATACAATAATCTTTTGAAAATGTAAAAATAAATGAGAGAGAATTCATTGTCACAATTTTTTTCACAATGAACAGAACGAAAGAAAATTTTCTGCGACGAACAGAACGCGACCAATTGTCGTGCGACGAATTGTACTAGTGCCCCAAAAGAGTCGATTTCTTTTGATGCAAACCGAAGAAAATATATTAAAGATATTTTTTCTCTAGCATGAAGAATAATTAACTTAAGTCTACGTTTTTCGCACAAATTTTTGTTAATTTTATGGTGACTTTAAAACTATCTTCTACATGAATGTTGGTTCTTTCACGGTATTAACTTTCTTTTCTAGACTTTTTAAAAATTTTCCATGCTGCCTCGTTTTTAACAATACCATTGCAACTGAGGGTAGTAACGTTTTTTTCCTGTAGTTACGGCGTAACTGTGTCACAATACGATCGTTATAAAGCACATGTGCACTGACGTCATATTGGTTTGAAACACTTTTTCTTGTTCTCTCTGCTATCGTTTTATTACAAGCTGTAAGAAAAGTTCTGCATATAAATTTATTTCTTAAAACAAAAGACGAAGCCATCCTGTTTGTTTTTATAACTACTAACGTATTTTAATTCTTCAGATAGCAAAAAATATGCCTGATATAAGATGGTACATACTGTCTGCGATGCTCTCAATTATTTGCGTCATCATTGTTTTCCTCAGTAATCCTTTAAATTGGTTAAGATCTCTATTTTCATCGCATGATATTATGGAAATCAATTTCCCTGTAAACAGTTATGAAGTGAACAGAGCGTCTGTGCTACTCAATGATAATCGTTTAGCTTCTAGTATTGAAAGATTTAGTTTTTCGAATGAAGTCGCTTACGATACAAATCAAAGTGGCTACCTAAATGCACTTCGAAATCAGTTCAATAATGGTGATCAAGGCCTGCTCGATTATATTACTCGTATGGAATTTACAGACGAAGGCCAACAATTTATTAAAACAATGTCCATTGGCAGAGTAAGTGTATTTTCCATGATTCTCATCGCACATAAAAGAATAAATGGTCAAATGAAAATTCTGATTGCTGAATTGAAGAAAGAAGTAACCATATCGATTGTTTCCACATTATTGTCGGCTCCTTCGCGTATACTTGGCATATATTCGAAAGAACAAAAAGAAATAGAAGAGATCGTCAGTCGTTTCAGCCTAGACGAGAATAAGAAATACTTCGAAGCGCTAATGGAACACATTATGGCGGATAAACTTCGTGATCATTTGAGCAATGACGTTCATATAAACTTCATCGAAACAAAGAAAAAAGAACTATAGCCTTTAAATCCTAATATTCGAATTGCGTACTCTCTCCTTTGCACTTTATTGGTTTTCTTTCAAATAAGATGAATTACTTTCTTGAGGGTATGCGAGTATGTAAGGCTGTGCGGTGTCAGCAGCAACCCCCAAAAAAAAACGTGACTTTTGTCACTGACCGGGACGCTCAGCACACACTGGTAGACTCAGTGCCACTGATCACTGAAATATTGAGCAGACTGACTGCATTGACATCTCTTAATTAATTGTTACGTAATACTGTAAGACATGTGCTTGAAATAAACAGATAATAATCATAAACTAGATGCATGTAGTTTTTCAAGAAAATGAATACATCTTCATCGAAGAATTCGATAAAGAAGTTATAAGTGAAAATCTTCGACAAAACAAAACACGTAACTAAAGGAATGTTCTAAAAAGACAATTTTGTGAAAATAAAAGTAAATACGTCTTTCAAAAGTCAAGATAAATCAAACGAAAACCTAGGATAGAATCAAGTACATATAGAAACACGGAAAAAAATATATGCACAATAAAGCAAAGCGGTTAAAAATCAGATCGATTTCAAAAGTTTATTTTGTCTTTCAGAAAGACATCTGACGAAACATTGTCTGCCTAAAGATGCTAAAAGACTAAGACAACTTTCGTTCGGTACCGAAGTTACAAGAGTACAAAAGAAGAACATATGAGGGCGATTTCCGAAAGAATAAATTCATGAATTCACGGCCACACCCAGTTACATTCATTCTCTTACTTCATTAAAACGTCTGACCAACTATTCTAGTTTTGCTAGTGAATAGCCCAGACCGAAAATAATAATTACCAATCGTTCATCAAATATTTAAAAAGCAAATAACCCATTTTCGTACTATACTCAAACACAATTAAATTTCGTCTTTCAGAATACAAGGCCTCTTGACAAAAATGTGAATATGTCATTTGAGTATCATATAGTTGTTTATGATTATTTTCTTATTGATTTCAGATCATGATCGAATCTTACAAGAACAACAATGAGAGGTCTATGACCTTCGTTGATGAAATCTATAATATTGATAAAATGTATGTTTTATTTTTCCTTATGTTCGTTTGTGTGTCCAACGACAACAATTATACATAGAACTGTGTGTAAAAGCTACTTTAAAGCAACACAAAATTATGTTTGATATTCGCAAACAGACCTATGTCGTGCATATATAATGATTGAGTGAGTGTAGAATACAGCTTGAATCGGTCCGTTCTAAACATCTATAAAAAAATTCGTACAATCAAGACTATTCGTCAATATCAATTTAATAAAATCCTCGATTGCTCATTTTTCTCGAAGACACAAACCAATGCTGAGATTTCGTAAATATCTGCTCGCCACTCTTCTTCTCATTATTCAAATCTCATTTTGTTTTCTCTTCGGCTTTCATGCTCGATATGTTTATGCTCCTGTCTCTTCTGTTAAGAATCTTACGTTTTCTGCAGTGAGTATTGTTGAATATTACTATCCAATGTTTATGGATATTCATGTTATGATGTTCGTCGGTTTCGGTTTTCTAATGACATTCTTATATCGTTATTCTTATTCGGCTATAGCATTCAATTTTGTTCTGTGTGCGTTTACATTTGAATGGGCTTTACTTATGCGTGGCTATTTTTTTAATTGGGATACGAATGGACAACAATTTGCAATAGATATCAAAAGCTTAATAACATCTGACTATGTTGCTGCGAGCATATTGATTTCAATGGGTGCCGTTTTGGGAAAAGTCAATCCATTTCAATTGATTCTTATGGCATTTTGTGAAGTACCAGTACAAGTTGTTAACGAATGGATAGGTAGAACATTCTTTTGTGCTAATGATGCGGGTGAATCGATATTTGTTCATTTATTCGGTAAGTCGAAAAGAAGAATTATTATTAATATGTTCGAATAAAGTCATATACTAGTATTATTGTGTTTTCAGGTGCGTATTTCGGTCTAGCTGTTATGTTTGTACTTTTCCGTTCGGATATGCTAGATTCTCCTCATCAAAAGTCTCGTTATACATCAGACATTTTTTCAATGATTGGTACTATTTTTCTTTTCTGCTTTTGGCCTTCATTCAACGCTGCTAATACCGCCGGTCCCGAACGTCTACGTGCAGTAATCAATACTTGTGTGTCGATTTGTTCGTCTGTTCTCGGTACGTTTATAGCATCATCCCTTGTTCGACGTGGTAAACTCGACATAGTTCATGTACAAAGTGCTACTCTTGCCGGAGGTGTCGCAGTAGGTACTGTTGCTGCATCAAATATCGGTCTACACGGCGCTTTAATCATTGGTACATTAGCTGGTTTCGTATCAACACTTGGGTTTTATTCTGTATTACCTAAACTAGAGGTTATTCGTATACATGATACATGTGGTGTTCACAACTTGCATGGAATACCAGGATTGATGTCGGGTATAGCAGGCATTATTGTAGCTTCTATTCCGGAGAAATCAGGTTTTCAAGATCATTTAACCGTGCTCTGTCTGACGGGTGGCCTACAACGTTCAAGCAATATTCAAGTAGCCTATCAGGCAGCTGCAGTTGGACTCACGTTGATTGTGGCTATTGCCGGTGGACTATTTACTGGAGTGCTATTACGGTTACCATTATTTTCTCAGGAGTCGCAATATTTTGATGACAAAGTTCATTGGCATATACCGAAACCTGAGCATACAATAAGTTTAAAGATGTGATTATATACGCGCTAATGAGGATGTTGTTAGCTATGTATGTGGGTATAAGTATTATGATGTTGATATAGGGATCAGTGAAAAGAATAACAGCAATTCAAACATACACACATTGGCATCAGTACTCACAATCATAGCTACACTCACCCTTACGATCGAAAATGAACCCAATAGAACTCTTAGTTATATTAGTCTGTAATCAAGTTGTAGAATAAAAACTATCTTAGAATTTATGCATGAACTATAATAAATTTGCCTAGAAAAGTAAAGATGAGTTGTTTCTTTATTTGCAGACAGATTCTACCTTCCAGTTCGTAAATTAGAACCAAATTGATAATACATAATTTTCTACGTTTGCTTGATATTCAATTCCATTTAACAATTCTTTTAACCATTGTAATAATGTCGGAACTTCATATGTAATGATAACGATTTTATTTCATTTAATAGTAATCGTAAAAATGGAAAAGAATATTTGTCGTTTACTTCCATTTTTAATACTCTAAGGAGTCGATAGTCGCCAAGAATACGAATAAACTTTTCGACATTTGTAATATGTATTATATCTTGTTTTGTGTCAGTTATAGTTAGATGTTGAATACTTTTGGATAATTGTCTATTTTCAAACATGAAGTTGAAGAGATCAAGTCTAATTGAACCTGAAAATTCTCTAGATAAATACATTCGATTTGATGCCTCACCTTCCCAATACTGAAGCTGTAGTTTCGATACACGCAGAATTTTATTCAAAAAATGCAAATCGATTGATACTCGTATGGATCCAGCCAGTTATGAGTAATTTTACAACACAAACCATCACTGTCACTTTCGTAGTTGTCCTCTGGAAACGATAATGATAAATGACAAACATTTGGAAATACAAACGATGATAAAGCTTCAGCAGACCATTGAAAATCAGTATCGAAATTCAGCGCTAATGTTTCTAAATGATCGTATTTATTAGAAACTCCTCGAGACGATGATAATACCCAAATAAGCAAAAAATGAAGGGAGACTACCGACATGACTAGGCAGGAATGTCTGCAGCATCCGCCAAGTCTAGTCTGAAACGTCTTGCATACCCGTCTGGTCAAGTCAGCTTAATGAGGAGTGTCTTACAAACACGTCTGCACTAGTCTGGAAGTTTTGGTAGCTCACAACCAACGCATGATTGTGGCTTCCATGCATGATCCAAAAAACAATATCTATACCTACATCGACATCTTAAAAAAGCAGGGAAAAAACTTAAATTTCGACTTGTTCGTGTCCGTGAGACATGGAAAATACTGTTGCAATCGTAATCGTCGTCTCTGGCATCATCTACGAATACAGATGAATATATATACGAAGAGAGAGAGAAATTTTCTCTGGGAAAAAATTTGAATTATCCATGCTTATGTTGACTCTGAATTCATGGTATGAAGGGACTCTCAATACTTTTTGCTGAAAAAAACTCGTAAATTGCATATGCTGGAATCCTGCCGGGCTTCAATAACAAGCATGAACGAAAAACATAATAAAGAATTTTGATTAATAGGCGACAAAGTGAATACATAAATCCCAGTCAAATCCATGCTCTTCTCGACGGTTACCCTTGATACTCAATAAAAGAAATGCAAACTGTTTGTGCAATCCTTACCTCGCATCTCAACAACAGGCATGTAGAATGAATGAATAAACATTCTATAATGCAAGTAAATGAAAAAAAAAGAACCAAACTGGATTTATTTATAGTCATATCCACTGCGAACGTCGAAGGAATGAAGGGCACTTGATAAACATACATTGAGAGTAACTGACTCTGGTGAAATAGTAATCCAGTGTTTAATTAAAATCATTCTAGAACTGCTGTCTAACTGTCAATTGTCCCGAGAAGTCTTTCCTATTTCAGTGTAGAAATTTTAAAAACATAGCACTGTCATTTTCTAAGAATTGATTCAGTGAGTAGAATGACCAAAATTAGTTCTATACTAGTACTATTTTTTCTATTAGTTTTATCTGATAAGCAATTAAGAATGAAGATCTTCGCTCAATGTCGAAATAGACAGATTGCAAGAACGGAATTCCTCATCCGAAGTCCGAACTCAATAAGAATTGTGACGTGTAATACAACGAAATTGAATGAGCACTCTGTATTTGAATAAGAAATCGTTTTCTCTGGTTATATGCATATGTCTAGACTAATGTGAAATGAAAGGCTGGTATGAAGATCGTTCCAAGATGGGAAACATTTGAATTATTCTCGATAATGTTTTTTTCTTTTCATTCTCCAATACCAAGAAAATTCTATTTCCAGTTGATCAATAAGTTAAGCTTCAGCAGTGCACATCAATAAACAACGTAAAATAGTAAAAATATGTTACTGGGGAAAACGTTTAAAAAAGAAACAAATTTCGTTTTTTTCATGGTTTTGTTTACTATTAATTTGTGCTTTTAAGTTTTATGTTTCGTCATCAGACGAGAGAAATAGAGTGAGCTCAAGAAAAAATTGCTTTGTACATTGGAACATAGAAAAGTAAACAGTGTAAATAAAAATAAAATCTGAATTGCGATTGATTCATGCTTCTGTTTTTAGCGAAATCATTGTAAACAATTGCCATGATCCCTAATAGGCGAGAAACCCTAAACTGTTGGTGATGCCATAGAAATCCATCTTTTTATAGTGAATATAAGTTCGACTCTATCGAATGTATAGTTCGCAGGAGTAGGCAAAATACATGAAAAACGTAGATTTTGTTATATGCATAATTCTTTTAATTTGGTGATAATAAGAAATGTTTATTGGTATCTGAATGATTGTATCGAACTACAGTATTCTCTGCAAGTTAGGGCGTGGATATTAATGAAGCACTTAACAACATCCTCACACCCACACCCACTTTTCGTATTGTTCATTCGAAGTAACACGCAAATTAACATAAACAAATGAATTCCTCTTTTTTTTTGGTAGTGGTACCTGTTGTTTCTTGACTTTATACTGTGACAAATCCTATAATCGTGATTACAAAAAAAATGTGCATAGATAGCGATGAGACGAAAAATCGTCAAAGTTTCTTAATAATCGGTCGCCACTTCGGCATAAACTCGAATTAAATCATGTGATGTTGTTACATCATAGAATGAACCATTCATTCTGTCATTAATACGTTTTAATATTTCTGTTGAGGGTAATTCTCCATCATTCAATGCTACTGTCCAAAATCGTTGAATAACAGTATCATGAGCTTCTACGAGTTGATTTAATTCCTGTTCTGGATACTCATCGTCCCCGTCACTCATAAATACGATAGCAAAATTGTCAACGGCTTGTTGTTTGAATTTAATTATGCATTCATTGACACGTGTAAATGCAACCTTAAATGATGTAAGTCCACCGAGATATGGAATTTGATTGACATCAACATTGTTGATTTCTTCGTTTGAGAAAGTATTATCTACTCGATCAGAAAAAACCATAATTGTTATACGATCCTGTGTCTCCAATGAGCGACGACGATCTAAAAATTCTTGAACAGCTTGTATCAAATTTCGCCATTTTCCTCCGCTCATGGATCCGGACGCATCCAACATTAAAATAAAATGAAATGCTTCAACAATCGTTTTTTGAGGTGTATTATGTAAAACGAATTTCATATTGAATTTTTCACAAATTTGTCGTCCAACTTTTTGCCATACAGTTAGAAATTTGCCATGTAATCGATTCAATTCTGCATCATTCAATGCAGAATCAAATATCCAATCGGGATGATCTTTTTTAAATTGAGACCACCGACAACGTACTGAGCCAATCACAATAATTTGATGATCTTTAATTTGTTCACACATGAATAATGATGGCTCTTCTGTAAATTCGAATTTATAGCCATTCATGCCACGTAATGAGTGACCGGATAAACATCGATGCTCATTATATTGCGAACCAGGCGAAGATCTCAGTTGCGTATGATCAACATCACAAGGCCGTCTACAACACGGACAAAGGTTTTGGCATCCACGTACTTTATCCAATAGATTTGCATATGTCTCTTGACTGTCCATATTCTTAAAATCACTTTTACATCGATTAAGATCAGTCAAAAATGTCTCCTTTGATCTTAATAAGGTTTGTAAGAAGATAACTAAATTGCCAATCGAACTTACATTGTAAATCTCCGAAGTTTGTTCAATTACAGTTGATAACTCTCGACTTGGTGGTCGTTGTTGCAAAAGCAGTCGAAAAGCGTCGAGAGCGTCGTTTCTTAAACGATACATTTTTCCGTCGGCATTAAATGATATGGGTATGTCGTTTACAGTAAAATATTTCATGAACAAACTAGCCATACAACGTTGTTTGTTAATTAAGTTCTTATTAACGTCTAAGATATTTGTTTCTTCAGATAGAAAAACGTCATTAACAAATGTTGCAGCCGCACCTAATTTACTTCCCGTCTCCAACATTCCTATAAAAACAAAAGTAAAATATTTTATTTATCACAACCGCATGAACTAAAACTGTACCTTGTATGCAAAAGAAAAATTCATTTAATCTGGCGACATAAAAGCCTTTTTGATCCGTTAATTTTTGATCGATAGCCTCTTCAATATGGCCCCATAATGCCGTAAAAAATTGTTCGATAATTTTGGTCGGATTTTCAATATAATCCGAAAGCCATTGATGATCACTAGTTAATAATAGTCCATCACAACGATCTTGTATCCATTTACGATTGAGACAATCGTATGTTTTCAATTCTCTATGTATTGTATGTTGTCCTTCCTGCATAAATAATTTAATTAAATGCTCTTTGAATTTTTTAGCAAAGTTCATCGCATAATTTTCATCGATTGAAGCATTAGAAACAACCATACTAATGAAATATGATTTTAAATCATCTTTTTTTGTGTCTAATTCTGATACAGTTTGAAAAAAATGTTTCATCTGTTGATCGTAATAGTATTGAGTGAGTAAAATTACAGCACAGGTATGAAATGTTGATTTCAATTGAAGACTTAAACTTAGACAAAACGGAGCTAATTCATTATCAACCTCAATAATTAAGGAGTTAATTATACCAACGATTCTTTGTATTAATTCTGTTCGAATTTGTCTCGTTTGACCATTTCCATTACTTTCCATCATTGTCCTTATTCTACTGATAATTTCTGCAATAACTCTTGATATAGCGAAGTACATACGGTCTTCATTTATACGTGTTTCTTCTAGGATTGTAGGCTTTTCATATCGAATATGATCTCTAATGGCGAGTTGAAACTTTTCCGTTGTGATCATGACTGATGATGGAAATTGTTTAGCAGCTCGTTTTTCACGAAAAGGCGGTATAATCAAACTCAATCTAGATCGAATTTTACCTTTATTATGATGTTGACTTCTATCTATCAGTTGATGATTGCCTAAACTTTGATTAAACTCATTGATAAAATGAGTGTAAGCTGCTTTCAGTAGCTGTTTATTTAGATAGATCAGATTATAAATCATATCGATCGAGTATTGTGTTTTTGGATTGTAAGAATGAGCGATGACGGAACTCTCCTGATAGCCAAGACGAGTAAATAAAATAACTATTTCATCAGCGACATCATCAATAGATAGTTGACTATCATTAATATTAGATAGCATCATAAAATGATTGGCAATATATGCATAGTGAGGTAAGCATTGTTTTTCATAGATATTGTGATTTGTGAAAATATGTTTCATTGCTTGTTTTAATCGTTGTTCTGGAATAAATCTACGCTTGATGGATTGCAATATATTGTCGAACATTCGATTAAATTGTGTTGAAGCTTCTTTTATTGACATTTGTTGTCCGCTTTGAATAACATCTTGAATTAATTTCTGTAAATCACCTTCACCATTTCTTACAATTAATTTTACCCTTTCTCTTTCATTAACTGCAATTGTTGATGTCTGCAACGCATTGAACATTTCAATGATTTGAACAGATAAGAATTGTTCAGTTCGTCGACGTAATGTATCGGGTACTTTTAATAATTTGAAAAGCGCTTGAAGATTTTCCCGAGCTGTTTCTTGAATTTTACTTTGTTCACTAAGAAATAATTCATGAATTTCTTGTTCAGTTTTGTGCGATGATTCAACAATTAATCCATCACGAAAATTAGTAGAGAATATTTTTGTTAAGTCATTACGTATATGTTCACGTATTTCATCATCTAAACGTCTTTCATAAATATCTTGATAATAAGTAAGATCAGAAAATTTTTGTAAAGTATCGAAAATCGTCTTCGATGAAGATAACCATTGTAATGGATCTAAACATTCTTTCACTCGATCTAAATATGACTCAGCAGAATGAATAATTTCTCCACATAACGATTGAACACATTCGATAAATTCCGGTGCTGTTTTAACCGCTTTTGGTAATTTGGCATTTGATATTAATGTTTGTCCTTCTTTTTTGTACGCTGATGGAAGCGTATGAAATGTTTCTTTTCGTATATCAATCGATTCGCCTAAACCAAATTTTTTCAAATCTGATATAATTCGGTCAATGGCTGCTCGATTATTTTCAATATTTAAATCCGCCTTTTGGTTCAGAATAAAATGAACAATCGGCTGTGGAATTCGAGTTACGCCCATTTTTTCTAATGAATCAGTACATAATGTTAACATCGATTGTAAAGTTGTACTAACTTCGCCAACCATATTGACGAGAACTATATGTGAAACAGCTAAACAAAATAGAACAATACGCCGATCAAATTCTGGATCTTCTCGTTCAATACTCAATAAACCTTCGGTATCAATTAACAAAATATATTCAAAATCAGTTCGATTTGTTTTTACAAATGAACCATAAATACCTCGCGTGCAACGACCATCTCGAACATCAAATAGAGTACCAAACATGTAATTTAATAAAGTACTCTTACCGGAATTTTGCGGTCCAATAACACTAATAACTAAAGTTCGATGATTACAGAATGGTTTCAAAGCTTCGAATAAAAATGAATATGGAAAATAGAAATTATCACCATCGACAATTTCAAATGGAAAACCAGCGTTAATAAATTCATTGTATTTTTGAATAACCAACGGTTCCTTTTGACTACAAACTATAGCATTGCGCCATAGAACTTGTAAAGATAAATTTTTTTGCAGTGGCAATTGTGTTGCCATATCAGCAGTTGAAACTAATCTTGAACGTTCTTTTTTTAATTCTTCTCCAAGCAATTCCAAGCAGGTTAACATATTCGGTGCTTGTAGAAATCTTAAGAATAATTTATGAATTATGCTTGGATCGTTGTCAACAATATCTAATTGACTTTCCAGCTCAAAAATTTTACGTCGAGTGTCAAAAATGATTGCATCGTTTTCATCACCATAGAAATTAAAGCGTGCCAATGTTAAGTTCAATTGACAAAGTTCAGCAAATTTTAAATATTCAGGAAAACATCGTTTAATCATACTTGGATCAGCAACCGTTTGGAGTAGTTCTTGTTGTAATGGCATAATAAATTCATACATTTCACGTAAATGTTGTTTGTATTTAATGTTCATTAAATGTTCTAATCTGTTTTTTAAATATGTTTCATTGTGTCGACATTGAGTCGGAATATTTTCCCATATTTTATCACGTAATGTTAAAATAAAATGTTTATTTTGTTTATTATTCTGATTGGCAACATCAGGTAGAATGAATGCATTAATATCTTTTAAATTCGACGATAAAAAATTCGAACAACGATCATATTCATTTGTTGGAACATCTCGAATAATAATCAATCGATATTTTTCATTATTTTGAATCACATGTAAAAACTCTTGGACACGATCAATATGAGGCAAAAGAAATTTATATTCAACATGAATGATAAACCCATCGAACAATTCATGAATTTGTTCGAATAAGTTTTTCATCATGGAACCATGAGCATCAGCAATATTTGTCGACCGACGAGGCAAAAAACTATAGCCAAAATCAATATCAATAGTATTCTGAAAATAAATACTTGGCATTGACTGTTCAAACGATGAAAGAAACATGGTGTTAAGTAATGTGGACTTGCCCTGACATTCGCCTATGCCAAATGAAAGAATTGTCGGTACTGAATAATTCCATACATGTATGATGTCGGACACAAGTTCATATGGTTCAATATGATCTTTTAGTGATGGTTGAACGAATGGCACAGGATTTCTTTTACTAAGTAATGACATTATTTTTCGTGATAATGATAAATCAGAGTTTAATAGAAGAATATGTATAATCATTCGAAGACTTAATATTGGTTCCCTAAGTACCGAATTAATTTGAGAATATTTAAAGAATAAACTTTCGCAAAAGTCATCGAGATTTTGATGACGTTTCAATAGGTACATAATCGGCGTTAGACAAGTACTGATAAATGATGAAAAACTTTTTTTTGAACCATAATCGCTAAGAATTTCACCTAAGACGTCATCAAGTTTTTTATCCATATACACCAATTCACCAGCTTCAACTAAGTTCGATAATTGTAGTTTTTCATACTCATTAATACACATGGTGATCATTGTGCATTCACGAGTTCGTTCTTGACGTTTTGTTTCATCCTGTTCTCTGTTGACGGAATCGGGATAGGTATTCGGTGGTGATCGATTTCTAATGGGTAAAATTATATTATTTATATACTCTTTTGATTTTTCATTGAGTATTTTGACCTTTTTTGGTACGATTAAATTGGTTACTGTTTTGTCATTTAAACCGTCCAGCCAACCTTTATTGGTAACACAAGCTAAAGCTATTTTGAATATTTCAGGCCTATTGATATTAATTTCTTTCTGTTGAAGAAAATTTTTTAATTCTTCAGAAAAATAGTCACTTAAAGCTAAACGTAAAGGACTTTGATCGTTTTGTAATTGTTGTTGAAGAACATTCGGCGCAATAAAATCTTCATAATGTCGAATTCCTTGAAGACCTTCACAGATTAAGCTATTCCATAACTGATTAAATACATCCGTATTTTCGATGTTGTCATCATCGAACTCAAATAGAAATTGAATTACTAATGACAATAAAGCATTATCTTTGGTAAATTTTGAACCATATTCTGCGGCTCGTGTTAAGATTTTATTGTAAGACTCTCTTGATTCTGATATTTGTTGCTCAAGAAATTGATGAAACCATTGGTCAGGGATCATTGCTTTCCATTGTTGTTCGACGTAACATTTTAATGTTTCTAACAGTTCACATGAATCATCATTGATTTGTTTTCGAAATATATTTGGTGTTATATCTTCTTCATAGTCATGTAAAGCTTTTCTTCCTTTGATCATTAGTTGCTTAGCAATGATTTCTGACTCAGTTGAATCATCTAATTCAAGAATTTCAATTATTTTCGATATACATTCGTTTTCAACAGATTTTAATGACGCCGACGAATAATCGTTTAAAGCGACATCACTTGTTCGAATAGACAGATCACCACCAAATGACGTCCTTAATGAAGATACTTTAAGAGATGGATTGCTGTTGTAACGTGACATTTATAAAATCTGAAAAACAAATACAAAATGTTGAATATATTTCGTTAGGAAACATTGAAAAGGACATGATATCATATTCTTTATATATTCCATATAGTCGTTATTTTCTTTTTGTGTTTGAAATATTCTGTATGGTTAGGTTTCGTTTCGTCGACGAATCACCTTCGCCTACCCCCTCACCCCCACCTCCATCCTGTATGTTATCGCATATGTTATCGTTTTACGTGACTTATTTGGAAGTTTCTTTGATCATGACAATATTAACTCTTGTACACGTCAATATGAATTTTCGGCTGATAAAATGCATGCAGTCAACATATTTGCTTGTCTTAGATAAAAATGCTTTGCAAATGGAGCTGACAACGATTACCTGCATGCAAGTAAAGTATTAAACAGTAAAATATACTCTCATCCACATCCTTAAGATTGTTTTTTTTCTATCCTCTTGTGTCTTACAGGTAAGTTTCTGTTATATTTTGATGTGTTTTCAATAAGATTTATTCAATCCATTAACCATAAATTACATTGCACTCAGAATCTAGATCGATGGGTAGCTGCCTGTTTCGACTTCTATTATAACTGCAACTTTCCCAAAACAAATACCAGCAAATATCTTTAGATAGGAATAGATTTAGTTGTTTTTTATATAAAATTTATATAATTAAATAGACATACGCTGCTCCCCAGGAAAAATTTTTTCCAACAAAACCGCTGTCAACTGCGGTTTTTCGCATTTGACCGCGGTTCTCAGCAGTGAAACCGCGGCGTCATTTCAAAAATCTCGGTTGGCCGCTGTTTTCATATATCGTGGAATGTGAGAAACGCGGTGTGGCAATCGGTAACCGTCGTTTCATGATAATAGACCTTGACATTCCTTATGGCGGTAGTGGTAGCTTGAACACACAAGAGCTTGATCATGCATAATCGTCGTATTTTAAGGGTAGATTAGTAACATTTCCAATACGACGAAATCATTCTGAATGAAGCGTGCGCTGTATTTATTAGTTGATGGCCATTTAGAATAGCATTGTGCGATATAATATAAGCGTGAAGAACGGAGCGTAGGTGTGAGCGCAGTCGCTCTTCTACTGACACCCACACCCTATGATATGAGTTTAGATGGCATAATGGTTTTTTTTCTTTCGGTTTATAAAAGAAGCGAAGAGCGATAAAAAAAGAAGACGTCTTTTAGAATAAAAAATAGTCGTCAAAGTATTGTTGGGTTATTTTTAAGATAAATTTCGCTATCAACACAAAAATTAACGTCGAACACACTGGAAATCATCATTATTTTAAATTATGACACATCGTAAAACGAATGATGATAGTGATCAGGAAGAAATAGATGATGATCAACAGAAGCAACAGCAACTGATTGACGCTCTTCAGAGTGAAATCAGTCGATTCGAACATGAGGCGGCGCGTGTGATGCATGAATTACGAGCTTTAGAAAATGAAAATCTTCGTATAAAAGAAGAAGAGGAAAAAAATGCTGCTCGTTTACAAGAATTACAAGAATTAATTCAACGTCAAAAAGATGAACTAGCTCAAATTGATCGAACGTTAATTGATCTGAATAACGAGCGAGAAAAACTTGAAGCAGAACTTGATCGAGAACAACAACTACTTGAAGATCATGAAAGAGAATTGGAACAACAATTAGAAATTTTAGAAAGATTAAAAGAACAACTCGAACATTTTCAAGAAGAAAAAGAACACCTTGTAGAACAAAGAGAATTAATTGAACGTGAAAAACAGGAAATTGATCAGAAAATCAACGAAACACAAAGACTCATTCAACACTTAGAACAAGAAATTAAAGAAATTCTACAAAGAATTCAAGCGATCGAAGTTGAAATGCGACGTATTGAACAAGAATTAGAAATTCTACGAGAAGACATACAAGAAAACGAACGAAAACTTCAAGAGTTAGAAAAACAAATTCAAGAAATCAGACAGAAAATGCTGAATTTTGAACGTGAATGCGATCGATTAGATGCTGAATTAACTCGTATCAGTGATCTAATGAATCGAATTTCTCAAACCATCGACATGAAGCAAAATCAAAAAGAAGACTATGAACAATTAAAAGCTGATCTTCAACGAGATTTGGAAGAAGCCAAGCAAGAACAACTTCAAGTTCGCCAACAAATTCACGTACTTGATCAACAGAGGGAACACCTAGAACAATCGATTAAACCATTACTACAGCAACAAGAACAACTGTCAAAGCAGCTCGCCCAAGAAGAAAGCGAATTAAGGAAACACAACGAAGCCATTCAGCAATCGAAGTGCGTATATAAAACATTTTCATAAGCGTTTATTTTGATAAGAATGAGACTGATCTTAGACTTAAGCTATCGACTGAAAAAGTTCTCGTACTACACTCTGATTAAAATTTTAATTCCCTCTTAGACAAAAAGTAGACCAAAAGCAACAGGAATCTGTACAAGTAAAACAAAAAGAGCAGCAAATCAGCCTACAAGTCAATACAAAAGAGCAAGAGCATGCCGAACTTGAACGTATTAAAAGTTCTCTTGAACAGCAAAATGAAAAACTAAATGGAGAACTAGAAACAATCCAGAGCAACTTAGTCACTACTGAAACGAATCGAAATAATTGTGCCGAACAATTAAAGCAACACCAACAAACTCTTAAACAATATGAATCAGAACTGAAAACAGCTCAACAAAACCATCAAAATGCCGAAGAACAACTACGTCAACAACAGAATACTGTAACAACTGCTCAACAAAAACTCCAAAAATGCCAACAAAAAGAACAGCAATGCGATCAAGCGAGACAACAGGCTGAAAATGATGTCAGAATAACTCAACAAAATCTCGAAATGGCAGAAAATGCATTAAAAGTAGCAGAGTTTGCACTGGATGCCATTCTAGCTTTTATGAATGCAAATCCATTAGCAAAGGTAGTCGGTCTTGGACTCAAAGAAGCAGCAGTACGCACATGTAAACAGAAATTAGAAGGAGCAAAGCGTAACCTACAAGATCGCGAGAAAGCACTCGAGAAGCGAACTCGTGATCACGAACAAGCTGTAGTTGATACGAAAAACGCCGAAGATACATTAACAACAGAACAAAAAAATCTTGAAACAAAGCAGAACGATTTGACTGCTCGGAAACGAGAACTCGACACTGCGAAAGAAAAAGTCACTGATCAGGAAAAAGTCGTTGCGACTACAAATGAACAGCATAGAGATTTACGACGACAACATGAACAAATTCAACAACAAAAAGGAAATAAAAGCAAAGAAATAGAAAAAACTAACCAACACATAGACAATCAAGAAAACAGTATGAAATTTATTCAAAATAATATAACTGATTTGAAACAACAACAGATGAAACATGTTGAACAAATTCAACTACTTGATCAATGTATCAAGACCTTTGAAGAAGAATATCAAAAGAAATGCATTGAAACTAAAGCAACAACTGATCGCATAACGACAGTGAAAGATACAATGAATAATGCTAAACATGAAATAGAACAAAGGAGACAACAGATTACAAGTTTTCAAAATCAAATTACTACAAAGCAACAAGCAGAAAATCAGCTTAAAGGAAAAATTAGTAATGTTCAAGAGAATCTATTGATGATCAGTAAGAGCGTCACTCAACTTAAAGCAGATCTTCAAGAACAGAAAAGACTTCACGATATCACATCAACACAAAAAGCCAAATCAGCACAAGACTTACAATCGGCAAAAGGTAAAATAGAAAATCTAGAACGTGATGCTGAACGAAATGAAAATGATCGTCGTCGATTAGATCGTGATTTACAGAAAAGACATCAAGATCTTATGGAAACACAAAGAGTACACGGACAACTCAAACATAACCTTGATCAACATCGAGGTGAAATTCAATCGAAAAAATATGAACAATCGCAATATGAGCAAAGAAGATCAGCTTTAATAGGCTCATTGGATGAAAATAGAAGAAAAATTAGAGCGTTCGACACTAAAATCAAAGAAACACAAAGAATCATTGAAAGACAAGATCGATTAAAGCAAGCTGCTGAAAATAAAGTTCGAGATTCCGAAAGAGAAGTACAATCAAAACGGCGTGACTTAGATAAATTAGAGAAAAATATTTCCGGTGTAGAAAAACAATACAACGATGCTAATAATCGTCAGAACAAAGCTACAAGTGAATTAAGCAATGTTCAAAATGCAAAAGTAGACATCGGTCGTCGATTAGCTGATAATGACCGTAATCGAAATGATCGAAATGCAACAGTCAACCGTCTTAGTCATCAAGCAACATTGAAAAGAAATGAAATTCGCAACTATAAAGAAAAACAAAGTCGTTATACCCTTGATTCAAATGAAAATTCATCTGAGGATGATCAAATAGAACGGCATCCAGATAGAAATCGGCGAAGAGTTCAATTAAAAGAGAAACAACGAGCTCAACAATAAAAATCACAATAGACGGACTAAAACATTCAACGCTTTATTTTAATCGATTCATTGTCTAAGGAAAAATATAACAAGACAGATTCTTTGAAATTTTAATAATCATTCTATGTATAATTTACTAACGAGTTCATTATTTCAGATTAAATGTCAACTGAGAATATCCCAATTCTCACTTATTTGTCCATTACGAAACATCCGGATGGAAATGTCGCATTGGATAAAGAACGCTTGCGATTTCTTCGTATAAAATTCGCTCAGTCCTATCAAGGCAATGATTTAGATGATGATCATTTACGACGTCAAACAATCGAACAACTGTTTGCAAATCTACATATTATGAAGGACACCATGAGTTTGGACTATGTTGATCGTGCTATTAGAGAACGGTCAGATTCAGATGCTGAATTCGAAATCCTCGAGAAATTTCGTGGAAGTGTTCAATATCTTGAGCCGATTACGTCCCCTGAAAAAAAGAAATCCAAAAATCCACCATCTTCAATAAACCAAATCGATGAGAAAAAAGTCAAACTATTGAATGACATAATTTGCGTTATTCACAAAAAATCGCCTCAATCAGAAATCAATGATTTCATATCGGATTTTCTCTTTCAACAAGTTCAACCATCAGCGTAAGTCTAAACTACTTCTTTTAAGTCGAAATTCTTCATATAACTGTAGCCAATCAAAATCTGTTCCTTTATATGATGGATCAGTTTATCCGTTGCCTCGCGGTACAATCCTGGATTTATTTATTCGACAACAAATGATCGACCGCGGTACAATTACTTTTATGCGTCCTCGAAGTAGATTTTGTCTTGTTGAACCAATCAGTCTAACAGATGAATTCGATTCATGGACATTCGATCATTTTCATAATCTCTTCGATTTTTGGTTAACCATTGATTTAACCAATAAGAACCATTTTCCGAATCAATGGAAATTGCATGCAAACGCTGAAATCAGATATATCATTGTAGATCAACTAAGCGATATAGATGCTGATCAAACATCAAAAAATACAGGAAGACCGACTACAAAATCATTGGAAAGTTTTCTTCGCGGTATTTGTCGAATTGAAGACAACGGAAAGTTCAGTGAATGGTTTAAAGCTTTGGTAGAAGATGAAAATATACATACATATTCTCATTTAACAAATCTCAATCAAAAAGAATGGGATCGAATTGAAAAGCTGCCTATGAATGCATTGAAAACAATTAAATTTTATGTTGATCGAGAAAAGCAAACGGTCGAAGAACGAAAAACAAAGCGAAATGTGGATTCAAGTCAAAGTATAAATTTTAGTTCGATGTTGAACTTTTTGTATTATGTTTTAGATTCATTTTAGGAAAAGAAGCATCTTATTCAAAAGCAGAAATACGTGCTAATTTACATATGATTAAATTATATGTTATTCGGCAATTGGAAGATCAAGATGGTATCGAAACACTTCCGAAATTGGATGCTTATTGTGTAGAAAAAGCGTTTGATGAAATGCGCGAAGAAGGCTATGAAGATGATGGATTGTTTGATGAAATGAAATTATTTTTTCAACCATTAACTATCACCGATGATGAATTAACGATCGATTCGAGTTTATTAATCGCATTAAATAAAGAGCAACTTGCTGAAAAGAGAAGTTTAGAAGATGAAATAACAACGTTAAATGATTCCTTAAGACAAGAAGAGAATTCTCTGAGACAGTTAAACGAACAATGTGATACTGCGAAAGAGAAACGTAATCAAGATTATCAGCAATATAAACTAGATTCAAGTAGAAATGAAAATCGATCGTATCGAAAACAACTTGAAGCAGATCAATCGTGGGCGAAGAAAAGTGATGAATGGAAAGAAAAGATTAACTCAGTAAATAGAAAAATTACCCAACATGAAAACAAATTCAAGGATATTGAAACCGATAAAATGGCAAAAGAAAATCTTTTGAAGATTATTGAACAAAATCTGTCAGCCGATAATTCGAAAATCGATAACAGATTAATTAAACTTCACCGAGGTTTTATAATGTATGGACCTCCAGGTAAACATTTATCACATAAGTCGTTGGATAGTTTTCGCTTATTATAGAGTATTAATTAGGTACCGGTAAGTCAGTTATCATGAGCAAACTAGCCAAGAAAATCGGTATTGCAATGCTTGGACCTCCGTTGGCAGCTGGTGAACTCGAACGTCCATTAGTTGGCCAATCCGAGGCGATCATTCTAGATCTTTGTATGCGTGGTAATCGTTTACCACACTTAATGTGTTGTGTATCGATCGATGAAATCGATTCACTAGCACCGAAACGTGATGAAGATTCATCAGAAGGCAAAGTTGCAAAAATAAGTGTTCTACTCTCCGTGATTGAAGGTATTAAGGATGTTTCGAATCTAATGTTTTTCTCGGCCACGAACCGTTTGAATATGATGGATGAAGCATTTTTAAGACGAATGTCGGGCAAATTTTTTGTGGGTCGACCATCATCTGATGCGAGAAAACGAATTTTAGACGGAATACCAAAAGTGATTTTGCAACCGAATATTAAAGAAAAATTATCAACAGCAACAACAAATTTCAGTGGAGCAGCCCTGAAGTAGGTTTCTCATGTCAATAACAATCAATAGTTAAATCTGATTAATTATTTAGAGCATTGACGAGTGCGATAACAGTACATTATCTTGCGCAAAAACGTTTAAATAACAAATATGAAATTAGAGAAGAAGATGCATTAATATTAGCTGATCGAACAGCTCGTCAATATCAATTATTTCTCGGTCTCAATACTTTGCCGCGGTTACTATTACATAATCTTGATAATCGTCGACTACTATCGCGTAACGCGAATCATGGTTCTAGGGATTCAACTGAATTTCATTTACCGGAAACATATCGTTTTACTGGAAAAATTATCATTAGTCTGCATGACAAATGTGTTCGAACTGAAGTGATACAAAAAAATAATCAACGTCATATAATCGAAGATTCACTAAGAAAAACAGAAGAAAATCTTCAGCAACTGCTCGAACGTATTACATCATACGGAAATGATCGCAATGTGCAGTTATTACAGCTAATTGATTTAAATTTACTTTCATCGAAAGGTGCTTATGATGAAAAGAAAATATTCGAAACCTTGAAAGAACGGTATGATGAATGTATGGAATATAAACGTTCGATGATTGTCTATGACCTTGATTCATTAGTTGGAGTAAATCAATCCGAATCCGAATCATCGATGGGAACATCAACTAGTACATCGATTGTGAATCAAAGTATTTATATTTATGTAACGAGTCGTTTTCGCGAAGCAGCCATTGAAGCAAGTTGTACTGATAAAAGACAGAAAAATGAACGATGGGCTATTGCTGTTGTACGAGATCCATTTTTGTTGAAAAAATTTACAGCAGATGTTGATTTTACTCGTACAAACGAGCAAATTGAACAAGACGAAGAAGAACATCGGCGATCGACGACCACTTTAGTATGTGTTAAATGCCGGGATCTCTATGTTGAAAGCGATAATAAGATGGGCTCATGTAATTATCACGATGGATTTGTTTATGATAATTTAGCACGAGATTTAAAGAAGTACAAGCCAAGTAAAGCAATCGAAGAATTAAATCGTGAAGAATTTATTTCATACACAAACCCCAAGAAGAAGGAAGAGATCGAGAAAGGAAAAACGCGATTTAAATATATTTGTTGTTATGCAACTGTGCAAGTTGGAGCAGGATTTAATGGATGTAAAAAAGGAAAACATGGTTTTGGTAATTCGAAAAAGAAAAATTTCGAAGGACAAATTTTAGATAAGCAAATGATCGACAAATGGGAAACAGCATGCGATGAAAATCCAGAATATAATCAACAATATGCAGATTTATTTGATAGCCGAAAAAACATTTAACTTTTAGAATATTTTAATAAAAATGGTGACTGAAAGAAATTAGGGTGAGGGTGAAAAACCATCACTTCTCTTATCTGACTTCTTCTTTTGCGATTCGTTGATGCTCTTATCATGGAGCATTGACGACGATAATACGACGAATTTCTTTGTTATTTTGGCTTTTCTTGAAGTTCACCGTGATGAAAGATGTGACTAAGAATACAAATAAAATTCTGCTCTTGAGCAGTGAGCCAAAATTAGAAAGCCAGTGTGGGGTCTGAACGAACTCCAGGTAGACGTTTCAGGGTGAAAGCGCATAGTAGTTGTTATCAAAGTATAACTATTCATGATAAACCGATAATCTCTTGAGGGTGTAGGTGCGGATAAAGAGAAATGAACACCCACAAATATCATAAACGCAAATATTTACGTAATTCCTGTCATTAAATAATCAAGAGACCATCTTTGCTGGAGTTGTTCAGGTCCTAAACTATCAGGACGCGAATTCGCGTCGCCCATACTCAATGGGTTAAGCTTACTTGTTTTGAACTGCTTTTCATTGTGGAAGATACATAATCAATATTTATATCTGTACGATGAATGTAAAGAAAATGAAAAATGGATCATTCCGCTATTATGGACGTGTCTATTTTATTTCGCATTTAATGAAAAACTGGAGAAATATAGATGTTGACTACAAACTATTTGATAACTTCAGTTCTCCTTTTTCTTCTTCTTTGCATATCATTATATAGTAGTTACTCCAGATTAATCCATCAAATTAGAAAAGAGAAGATATAAATATGCTCAACACTTAGTCAGTAGGTCGCACACAAAGGAGAATAAATGTAAAATAAACGATTGAGTAAACATTTTGCATTAGTTTTATTTCTTTTTACATTTTTGCGTGTAGATGCATCATAGAAAATCAGTTGGTTTTTGAAAGATAGCCCATGATATTTTTTACAAACTTTGTTTGCAAAGTATTTTATTCTCATATAGCGAAGTAATTTCACACTTGAAGAGTTTCTAAGAACTCAAGCATTCATCCGTAACTTTTTTCAAAAGCGTATTTTAGTATTTTTTGTCCTCTCGAACGATTATTGCACTTTAACCACTGCTCGTTGCCATAAGTACCATGTAACATGGTTTTACAAAGAATGGTTCAAACTTTGTAATGACCATTCAATAAATAGCACTCACAAAGAGCTTCGAATCCACATCATCAGATTTCTTGTCACAAATTTTCATTTCTCGTAAGATCTGTTGCAATTTCATGCGCCGTTTCGTGCTACAAATATGGTTTTTAGACAGTGCACATCATAAAAAACCGATATGTTCAACTAAAATACCTTACAAAAAAAGTTTGCAAATGAGATCACGGACTATTTTTCAAAAAACAACTAGGGTGTGGGTGTGGGCGTGATGATAGGCAATACTTATACTGACACCCACACCCACACCCACACTCACCCACACCCAAAAAGAAATTTTTTTCTATAGGACAATAACTCTAAGAATTTCTAGTTCCAATAGTTTCGAACAAACATTCCCAGAAATTGTTTTTTAAAAAGGCTTGTCTGAACCCAATATTTTTTCTGAAATTCTCCCAAACGTGTGTTCGAGCATATGAGCAGATTCTACACCTCTCTGATTTAGATTGGCTTGCTCTATTGAAATTAAATTTAATCTATATAAGTCATAAAAGCATTGTACATTTCTGCCTTGATAATCAAAGTTTGATGTAAGTTCCATGATAAGCTATTTTCGGAACAGTTCTTAGTTTCTGATGCTGTTGTTATCATCGAACTGACATTAGATCAGTCTTTCCTAGCTGTTGCTTATGACTACGAATAAATAAGAATTAGTCGAGTAAAGAACACAGCAGATTAAAAATTAATTTATTGAATGATCAAAATAGAACTTTAATACATTAAAATATCAGTAAAACCAATCTATCAATGGGTTTTGGTGCACACGTAGGTACGATCATCATTCCGAACTTGCGATGCTGTTCGATTATTTTGCTCAACTTAAAACAAAATTTCAGATTTTGTGATTTCATTAGAGACCAAACAAAAAAAAGATAAGACTGAAAAAGACAATTTTGTTAGAATACTTTGTCTCTTTTGAAAGAAAAGTTTATGATAGTTATAGGATTGATTATCAAAAGTATTATGAATACTTTTTACAAAACTTGGTATTGTCGCCAATAATTTTCGTTCAATAACTAGGCCCACTTCGAAGCAAAGGGTTTGAATTACTAACATAATCTGAAGTTATAAGGTTGCCAATTTATTCTAATAATGATTCTGTTCAGTTTTGGTTTTTTTTTTTTTGTAGCCAGCATTAATCTCATATAATCGAAAAACACACGTAATAGCTGCACGACGATCACCACCTACACTTTCATAAAACAAATCGAAATTCAAGCCACAACATTAAACAAAACGTCATCAACCACAACATGAAAAAGGAACAAATTTCAAGAAAATTCTATTCTACTATTTGACTCAATTGCAATCCATTAATTCAATGTAAAAACATCATCCAAAATAACGTGAAAAAACAACACTTTTCATAAAAACTCTCCTCCAGTATTTGACTCAATTAGAATCTCTTTTACAATTTGAAAACATAATCCAACATCTCCTGAAAATAAAATAACTTTTACGAAAATTCTCTTCGGCTATTTCACTCAATTCGAAAACATTGCTTCAATGTGAAAACACGATCCAACATCATATCAAAAAAAGAATAATTTTTACGAAAATTCTCTTCCACTATTTGACTCAAACTCGAATCCGTTATTTCAGTGTGAAAATATGCTACAACATCATGAGAAAAAACAATAATTTTCATCAAAGTTCTCTTCTACTGCTAGACTCCATTGGATTACCTTATTTCCATGTGAAAACATGATCCAACATCACGTGCAAAACAAATCATTTTCATTAAAATTCTATTCTACTATTTGACTCATTTGGAATCGATTACTCCAATGTGACAATATGATACAACATCATGTGCGAAAAGAATGATTTTCATTAAAATTCTATTCTACTATTTGACTGAACTGCCATCGATTGTTTCACTGCTAAAATATCATCCAGCACCACGTGAAAAAAGAATAATTTTTACGAAAATTCTGTTTTACTACTTGACTCAATTCGAATCCGTTACTTCAATGTGAAAAAATGATCCAACATCACCTGAAATGAAAACAATTTTGAAGAAAACTATCTTCTACCATCTGACTCGAATGGAATCCATTATTTCAATGTAAAAATATGATCCAGGGCCATGTGAAAAAAGAATAATCTTCATCAAAATTCTCTTCTACTATTTGACTGAACTCCCATCGATTCTTTCACTGTTAACATATCATCCAACACCACGTGAAAAGAGGATAATCTTCATCAAAATTCTCTTTAACTATTTGACTCAATTGGCATCCGTTATTTAAATGTGAAAATATGATCCAATACCACGTGAAAAAAGAATAATTTCCAGCAGAATTCTGTTCTCCATTGTGACTCAATTGCAATCCATTATTTCCATGTAAAAGCATGATCCAGCATCACGTGAAAAAAGAGCAATTTTCAAGAAAATTCTCCGCTACTATTTGAGTAAATTGCACTCGATTATTTCAATGCGAAAACGTGATCCAACATCACGTCAAAACAGAATAATTTTCAAGAAAATTATCTTCTACTATTTTGCCTCAATTGGAATACATTATTTCAATCTGAAAACATGACGCATCATCACGTTAAAAAAAGAATAATTTTTACGAAAACTCTTTTCTACTCTTTGACACAATTGGAATGCGTTATTTCAACGTGAAAAAATGATCCGACATCACCTGAAATGAGAATAATGTCGAAGAAAATTGTCTTCTACCATTCGACTCAATTGGAATCGGTTATTTCAATGTGAAAATATGATACAACATCATGTGAAAAAAGAATAATTTTCATCAGAATCCTCTTCTAGTATTTGACTGAACTGGCATCGATCATTTCAATGTGAAAAACATCATCCAACGTCACGTGAAAATACAATGACTTTTAGGAAAATTCTCTTCCACTATTTCGATTCATTCGCGTTCATTATTTCAATGTAAAAACATGATACAACATCACGTTAAAAGCGAATAGTGTTGAAGAAAATTTTCTTCTGCTATATGACTCAATTGGAATCGATTATTTCAATTGGAAAAAATCATCTGACATCATGTTAAAAAGGAATAATTACTAATAGAAATCTCTTCTACTTTTTGTCTCAATTGAAATCGATTGTTTCAATGTGAAAATATGATGCAACATCATGCTAAAAAAGAATAATTTCTAACAGAATTCTCTTCTGCTACTTGACTCAATTCGAATCGACTACTTCAATGTGAAAACATGATCCACGAACACGTGAAAATAGAATAATTACGAAGAAAATTCTCTTCCGCTATGCGACTCAGTTGAAATCAATTATTTTAATTTGAAAGCATAGTCCAAAATCACGTGGAAAAAGAATAATTTTCATTAAAATTCTCTTCTGCTATTTGACTCAGTTCGAATCGACTATTTCAATGTGAAAAGATGATCCAAGATCACGTGAAAAAAAGAACAATTTCTAGCAGAAATCTCTTCTACTATTTGACTCAATTGGAATCAATTTTTTTGAATAAGAAAAAATGATCCAGCATCACGTGAAAAAAGAACAATTTCCATCAAAATTCTCTTCTACTGTCTGACTCAATCGGCATCGATTATTTCGATGTGAAAATATGATATAACATCATGTGAAAAAAGAATGATTGATATCAAAATTCTCTTCTAGTGTTTGACTGAATTGGCATGAATTATTTCAATTTGAAAGTATGACAAAACAACATGTGGAAAAGGATTAATTTTTACGAAAATTCTCTTCTAGTATTTGACTCGACTGGAGTACATTATTTCCATCTGAAAACATGATCCAGCATCACGTGAGAGAAAGAATAATTTTGAAGAAAATTCTCTTCT